GTTATCTCTCTCTGGGTGCCAAAAGCAAGATTATAACTTTAATGAGGAGTCAGAATAATGTGTTGGATCCATAGGCATTAAATCAAATGATGTTGCATATAATTGATCAACTCTGGTCGACTGCAACTTCCGGTAAATCTTATGTGTTTTAGAGAGTTCTTTTCTTCGACTTGGATCTTTGGATGGATGGCGATGCGCCTGCTACTAAGCCTAATGACCTAAATCATGTGTTGAATGCCCTATCCGTTTTGGCAATTGGCAACTTTTATTCCGGTTCTGACATGGTTCCCTCTTGTGTTGGAACAATGTTATTTGTTGATAGAAATATTTCTCGCTGCTTGGAAACATGTGGTTTGAAACCGTTATTGGATAAATGGTTTTTCACTCTTCCTTTTTTTGTTTTTTTTTTTATGCCTTACCCCTTGAGGGGTCCGAGAGGGACTTTGAGATTCTCTTCACGGAGGCATATTTTAAGGGCAGAATAAATTATTCAGCGCAGGGTCATACTTAGTAAAAAAAAAACAAAAAAAACTGCGACATTCCTTAATGAGGTAAAGCATTGATTTAAAGCCATTGCTCACAGTTCTCGCTCGAAAGTGGCTTTAAATTCAAGCTCCCCTGTGACGTCCGAAGCGACTTGATAAAGCGAGCGTAAAAGATCAACAAATCCGTGCGAAGAATTGAGCAACAAAGCAAGTATTTGCGACGGTATTACGAGGCGACGACAATGTCGGGCTCGTGTTTCAGGATTACATAGAGCGTAATACGAGAGCGTCTCTCCGGCGACAGGACCGAAACAGCCCGACCGAACTTCCTGCGATTTTTTGCGTTTAAAATTTGAAAAGTGTAGATTTGCCCTTAAATACTTGTTCATTGTGTATTAATAATGAATTATAGTTTACTTAATGATACTATATTTGGTAAAGTAGATATGAAAAGAATATTAAAAAAAAATCATACAATTTGCACTGGCAGGGTCGAGTCCGGTCCTGGATGGCACCCCGGCAAGCGACGATGAACCGTTAATGGGCTCTGACGAGTAGATACACCGAAAATGAAAACCCGAATTGTACAAATCTGTCACAGGGGGCGCGGCGAATCGCATTGTTAAGGGACTCGGGGGCAGATTATTCGCGTCACCTGGGTGACAGCTCCCCGGTGTTGTTGCTGCGGCTAAAAGGCTGATAAAATTGGCAAATGTATGTGCGGTAAACGAGGACCGATCGCTGGCCGATGATAAGGGAAGCGTTCAACGACATTTAAATTAAAGCAGTGGTGAGAAAGTACCTGCAGTTGCTTTTCATATCGCCGTACTTTACAAGTATTGTTTGCATTCTTGCGACGTCGATGAAAAGCTTTTCACTATTCTGCGACAGGTAAAAATTTGTCGTGCATAAAAGAACAATCGATCTTTGCCACATTTTGAAGCTCTTATTCACGCCTGGTTCGGAGCTCTTAATATCGTTTGCCATATTATTAATGACTTTTTTTGCACTTCTGTTAAATTAACGCAACATTTATTTAAAAAATATATTTTTCTCGCAATGGAAACCGGGAGCTTAAGAAAGAAAATGGAGCTTAAGAAAGCCTGCTGTGCATTGCAACCCTATAATGATCAACCACCTAATGAAATTCTGGGCAGATCTCCTTTGAATATTAACAAACTGCGCACCATAAAAAGGTCCTAATAAGAAAGATGTCATTCAGTGACACCGAACCGAGGTTTTCAACTGAAGGTCATCCAAAAACTCAACAATTTAATTTAGAATCAATGGACTCAAAAGTAAATAAGAACTAAAAGTTCAGATTTTGACGAAATTATATATTTTGACATGCCAATTGCTTCGACAACACCGTGTCTTTATCAAATGTAATATTTACAAACCACCTGCTACTATATATACCGAAAAATGACCATAAAACCTTAATTAATGTTGTTGTGAGAATTTAAATTCAATAAAGGAGAGGTATTTAAATCTAACTAATCGTTAAGCAATACATTTGAATGTCTCATTTTGTTAATTTCCATGGCTTCCAATAAATTTAATTTTCTACTTTTTGTGGCTATATGTAAAATATCAAAATTGTCGTCAAAAATGTATTTTGCTTTGTTTAAGTATGTAGCACAATCAGAATCTAGACTATTGTTTTTAAATTACATTAACTCATTACATAATCGTATAAAATTCACTATCGAGATTGAACAGGATAACTCTATTATTTTTTTACAATTAACTATCACGAAAGCGCAAAACAAATGAGATTTTTCAATATATCATAAACCTTCACACACGGACTCATACATAACAACTCAAATCACCATTATACACACAAAATGGCTGCATTTAACTCTTTTATACACAGACTCCTTAATACGCCACTCTCAACAGACAATTACAACAAAGAACTTAATATCATTAAACAAATTGCACTGAACAATGGCTACAATCCGTCCATTATAGATAAAATTATAAATAAACAACAAATAAAGACAGCAGTAAACTCTATTTATCCGAAACCTAATACAGAACACGAACAATTTATAACAATTACATACATAGGAGAACCTAGTGAAAAAGTTTTAAAACATTTGTCAAAATGTGGTTTAAAAATAGCTTTCAGAACTAACGACGCAATAGGAAAATATTTCTAAAATCAAATGTCCAAAATCCCAAAAATCAGGTGTCTACAGGTTGAAATGCGGATCTTGTCCTAAAATTTATATTGGACAAAGAGGTAGATTCCTCAAGAAACGCATTAACGAACATATAAGAGCGTTTAAAAACAATAGTCTCCATTCTAATTATGTTACACACTTAAACACAGAAAAACACATTTTTGACGACAATTTTGATATATTACACACTGCCACAAAAAGTAGAAAATTAAATTTATTGGAAGCCATGGAGACTAATAAAATGAGGCATTCAAATGTATTGCTTAACTATCAATTAGATTTAAATACCTCTCCCTTATTGAACTTAAATTGTTACAACAACATTAACAACATTTTATCTTCATTTTTCGGTATATATAGTAGCAAGTAAATATAACATTTGATAAAGACACGGTGTTGTCGGTGTAGTTCTTATTTATTTGATAAGTGGATTTTCATCAATTAAAAGCCACCTTAGTTCAAACAATGGACTCGTTATTTAAGCTATAAGTCAGTTATCAGTTCTAGTTAGGGATTTTATTGCAAAAACTTTCTTTCTTTAGAACATGGTCCTAAAATACATCTGACATATTGGAATAAAAAAATGGATTTCAGTTTAGAACCTCTTGCACCAGCACGAATTCGTGGTTATTTACTACAGAAATTTCTTTGGTTATTACCCAATCAGATGTTAAAATAAATAAAAAACAAATCCTATCTTTTTACATTTACAACCCAAAATAATTATTATTTTCGTGGTATTCACTAGAGCGTGCTGGCAAAACCACCTGCGCATTAAACTTTATTAGGTATTTAACTTTATCGATTAGAAAAGAAAAATGTTTCAAATGAATGATAAAGCTTGGAATAAAGTAAAACATTGCCAAAAGAACGCATATGTTTGCTTTTCCTTAAAATCGCAAACATGGTCAAAATAAAATTATGAATTTGAACTTGCACCTAGCCCCTAGGATTATGTAAATTAGCGTTGTAGTTCATATTTGCGCTTTAGGACCTTCTATCAAAATGTATCTTATTGAAAAATTATCTTTTAGATTTAAAAAAAATTCCCTATATTTCTTTTGTTCAACTGTTGCAAATTCCCAAACATATTTCTTACACTGTCGAGCATAGTATCGATAGTATTGTTTTGAAAAAAATTCTATAGTTTCATTTTTCAGAGATCTAGATTCTTAGATAAAGCTTTCACTTCAGGGTTGACTCCAAATTACTGCAAAATATAATTTTTAATTCCTAGTAAATTAAAAAAATCTTCTTACAAAACAATCTGCTAAAGATAGTTAACTTTTATGAGAATTTGTCGAAGGGTTAAGGGTCTACCTTGTGTGTGAGAAACACGTTTCGGAAACATTAGCGCGCCTTTGTAATTGGCAAGCTATAAATTTAAAAAAAATAGTTTTACGCTGATAGGGGTCGACCGAATCGAGTCTTTAGTTTCTGGCCTCCGTTTTTAACGATCACGGGGTATGTCGAAAGAATTTTAACTCATTTAAATTTGTCACGAATTTTAGTCAAAATTTATAGCCAGCAATAAGTCAGGATCAATTAAATTTTAGTTGGAAGGGGCGAACCTCGCTTCCGACGATGAATATTTTTTATGCCCAAAACGTTTTATTTTTCTTTTACGCCACAAATTTTCGAAAAATAGTGTGAATTCAGATTGTTCTACAAAATTGTGAAGAATTTCGTAAAAAAATCTTTTTAAGCAATTAAAAAATATATATAAATGTAGTAAAAAATTTGTAAAATCACACTTTTTTACACAATAGTTAAAATGCACTATTTTTTTAAAAAAGTGTAGCTCATAAGCTTTTTACACATTTTTGGTAAGAAGTGCACACAAAAGCTAATGTATATTTATAATTTTTTAAAGGAAATTTCGTATTAAAAAATAGTAAATATCGAAAAAGGTATTACAAAATTTTCTACAAAATAAGCGTAAGTTTCGCTAGTTTTAGCTTTAGTTAGTTCTTGCGAAGTTTTGTAAAACATATGTGAATTTCGTTAAAACTCTAAGAATTCCCACGTTTTTTCGTTTTTTCAACTTTTTATGAAATTTTGTTAAGAAGGTGTGAATCTTAAAATAAAGGTTGCATCGACTTATGTCAAATGTCGGGGATCATTTTTCTACTCAGGTATTCCGACTTTTATTCACTACATGAAACCGGAAGAGCGAGATGACGTCTTCTAACCTTACGAACATGATACTAGTTTCGCAATTAAAAGGTTACAGTACACCATACACATGTCTCCAAGCGCCTAGACGAAACGCCAAAGAAATAAACAACCCAAAGCGCTAATTTGAATTTCATTTATTTTTAAATAAATACATTTACGTAAATCCTTATAGGTACTCTGATCAACGTTAAGAACAAATTATTCTATATATATCTTTTATATACTGCGTAATAATTTATTCGGATAAAGAATTATATCCTAAATGCACTCGCAGTAATAACCTAGATATGTAATCGTTTTTTTTCTCTATATTTTTATGGAAGACGAACGCATGGCTTTAGCGAAAATTGTTTATGAAAATTCATAATTGACTGCTCTATTGCTCCAGTTTTTGTTCTCTGGTCATGACTTTGACGCGGGTAGTAATTGACAGTCGTAAAGTACACGATCAATAGAAATTTTCATAAATAACTTTGTTCCCTTACTTATATATATTAACAGTGTAATTTATCCTATTTACAATAATAAATCGACAAACAAATCTGTGAGTATGAAAGCACCCACCCCAGTCTGCTTAAATCTGTTTCTTAATTAGTTAAAGACAATATGACGGACAATCCTAGCGGAAATGGCGGAGCTAACCAAAGCAACTGTGCGAAATCGGCAATAGCTTTAGGGGATTTTAAAGGAAAAACTAACTATATATCGCGAACTGAAATTTAAAAATATGAAGCCAATATTAAAAAAAATACATTAAGAGCAGCATCAGATTTGACCTTTCGCCAACTGTTTTGTTAGATTTTCTTTTAGAGAGGGCACTATCGACTTTAGTCTTTAGAATATTTTTGGTATTTTAGGAATGGTTTTTCAAACTTCGCGATGGATGAAAAAGATGTTAGTAGTTGCGATTTTGAGTATCGCCGGAGCCCGCCCCAAACAAATCTAACCTTTGCAGGAACGTCACTAGAAAACGTCAGTAAAATATGAAAATGAGTTTGGTCTAGATTTATTTCATGGATAATCACCTAGAAAATCGTGTTTTATACATAAACAAGATAAAGAAAAACCTACTTTCCCGCCTTCTGTCCTCACTGGACCCAGCCCGCAGGTAGGTTACCGAAATAGTGTGCGTTTTATCTGAAGTCTATCTAACCTTATAATCTAACTTGGTGCAGTATAATTTGTTGTGTTGTGGTGTATAATCGTCAAGGTTGGAGAAATCTGTTTCGAAATAAGTTCAAAGCACTGCTTGCACGATAATAATATCTGAAAGGATTTACAATGAACCTTTTGTACAATTATACTTCAACAGATATACTTCAACCAAATTGTTAATGGTGGATTCATGCAAGCATCCATTAATATTAACACGAATTTTAGATTTAGAGTAAAAATTTAATGATTCATTAGTGAGTCCAGATCGACATGCAACTTCACTAAAACATTAACATTAATATTAAAATGTTAGCCAACTTTTCATTAATTTCTTACGCGAAGTCCAATATGCGCATGTGCCTCATAAATGTCCGTCCTGTTTCAAACTCAACTTTTTCAATTTCTTGAAAACTAATTTTTTGATTATTTGCTATTTTCTGTAAACGAGGTCGAAAATGGAACGTTTTACTTTACAGAAGAATAACTAGGCAAGTAAGCATACGCCATTATTTTTTAATTAATTCATAATGCACAGTCAACTGTTGTTTTCTTAATTTTAATATTAAATTAGTGCTAAATTACTGTCAGTGGATGTTTGCGTGAGTTCAACCAATGCTATTCCGAAACTTTTGACGCTATACAGCCAGCCAAAAAACTTTTATCTAACAGGTTGGATTATTATGAAAAGTTCCTTTTTTTTAAAATTAACGTCAGTGCAGTGCTCAGATTTTTGTGATCCACTGCTGTGACAACATTTTTGAAATAATATTATTGACTTTTTTGTCGACGAAACCCGAGGGGAAAATCACTGGTATGTTTTAATGCAGGAGACTGAGGAGAACTGGAATTTTACAAGTTTTTCCTTTCAATGATTTCCCCTGGGTTCGTATATAATTTGACTGCGTTTTAATTTCAGCGACCGATATGAAGCATCCTGCCCTGTAGATAAAATAATATTCAAATGCGTAAGACAAGGTGAGTTAGAGAGACCTTATACTTAAGTAGATTCCCTAGATAAGTGTTTTGATGATATGATCGAGTTGGACCTGTTCCTTCCTACTCCATGGCGTTGTACTGCACGTTTTTCACTTTAAAATACCTGTATATTCCGTAGCCGGAGACTATACCCAGAGCTGCGATGGCTAAGGTGGAACCCACGGCAATAGGGGCGGTTTCGCTTCTAAAATGTAAATAACTCCGTACCAACAAATATAGCAACGAGGAAAGCTTAGAATGCTAGAATATTTTGGGTTTTTGACAAAATTTAATTTGCGGAGCGAGAACACATTTTAGTTTCCTTTTTAAAAAGACGCCTAATAATAAGTAAAATTGGCCCAAATCATACTCGGTTTTAAAAGGGTGCTCTACCTGAAATATTTCTGCGCTTTACACTGAAAAGACTCGGAAAAGTTCTCGTTCTTATACATAAAGGCCTGGATCTGGAGCTTGCGTAGCCACAGGGAGCCGTGGATATTTTTCGGCGGGTGACGATTATCCTCGGTCCTAAGCTGGACGTGTACCTCGTCGCACATGTATGACTTGCCCACAGGAGTCGGTATCAACTTCTCGTTACTGTACAGCCTCAATGTTTTGTCTAAAACGTGACACGTGCTGGCTCGCAGCGTACTTTAATAACTATCAAAGCTCACCTCTCGTCTGGATCGATGATAATCTCGGCATGTCAAGACTTACAGCTAATTCGGCCTGGGACAGGTACCACAGCTCCCCACCGGGAGTCTGAAACACGTAAAATGGCGACCGTGGGGTTTAAGTTAGCAGATGCAAGTCGTACCTTGGCAAACGCTAGCGAGAGGCTGTACCACTGCCAGGTCAGCTCCATTATCAGAGAGTCTTCGTTTGCGCAGCTGCCTTTAACCACCGCGTCGTTGGGGATGAGGGAGTCGACTTTGTCGTCGAAACCGTGTAGCTTCAAGTTGATCTGCAAACGCAAATATAGGTGCCGTAAATACCCTAAATTGATGCAATATTTTCTTTCTAAACATAATGGTTATAGTGGCTGATGTAGAAGATGCTATTAGAGATAGTTAACCGGGCGTGCCTAGAAGCAGGACACATATTCAAAAAACTAAATTCATGGCCATAAATAAAAACCTAAACACCGAATGCTAAACAAATATGGCTTGTTAAGACCCACAAATATTTGGAATCAACCATAAATGACGAAATTGATCCAGGCGAAGAAGTTAAAATTATAAATCAAATAGCTCCAAAGCCAATCTTCACTAACAGAAGCCTAATCCTAAGGATTAGGTTAAAGTTCAACGATTGCTATGTTTGGTCAGTGTTAAAAGAATAAAATAATTTATAGAAATTTAGCAACATAACGCATATACGAAGATGTCAACTTAAACCCACACCGACACAAATGGAAATGGAGCCGAAGTATAAAATATTGTAATTAAAATATAAAAAAAAATTATAAAAAGGCTAAGTTATTAAAATTTTAATGTCGGCTCAAAATTAAAAACGTCACGCAATCAAAATGGCTCCCATTTTGGCTTTGGTGATTTTTAATTTCTTTTTTCTACTCCCGTCTGTAAAATACCTAATTACCCACCGATCAAGTGTGCGGGAAGCGTCACTTTAGTACGTCAGTTTCGTTTCCCATGAATCCGAGCCACTTCGGACATTTTCGGGATTTTACCGCACGGATTTGGGAGCAATCGGATGTTTTCGGATATATTTCCCACGCTTTGAATTTTGACGTTTGTCAATTCTCACGGTCATGTCAGTGAATGTATTCGTGTTGTTTTGCGAAAATTTAACCAAAAACTAACGGTTTTAGAAAAAGTGTAGTATGCAACACTTTCCGTAAACTTTTTAACTCACTCGTTTATTAAAAACTCGCTCCGCGACGCTCCGCTCGTGTCAAATAAACTCGTGACGCAAATGACGTTTTCCGCACTTGTTGCATAACATACTATAGAAGATCAAGCTCTTAACTGATGTAAAATATTGACATTTTTATTAGTAGAGAATTTATGACCTGTGCACAAAGTAGCAACATCAGATTTGACCTCTGTCACTTCACCAAACTTTGATATTCGTAACCCCTGCCAGACTCCGATAAGCACTGGATTATAATTTGTAGAGTTTAAGGAATTACCTCATCTAGAAAAATAATCCACTGGATCCTTAACTTGAACTAATTACTCAGGTGTTATGATATATTTCCGAAGAAAGTCAAGCATTGGAATCTACGCTCCGGAGTTATTAATTTTATTATATGATATGACAATTTGTATTTCTTCTAGAATTTGGAAAACAACTTGATGCTAGAACGAAGTAGAGAACCGTTATTAAATGTAACATGTCTAATAGTCATTAAGTGGAATATTAAAAAGCCATAGAACAAAAAGTTAAACGAGACTTGTGGGAATAGGGAGAGTCGTAGGAAAATTGTATCACATAGTGAGTAGATGTAGACTTTATAAAAATCTTGAAATCAATTCTTTTTCCTTTCCGAAATAACACTAGATCGAGAAACGACTCCCCAGACTTCCCTCAGAGACAACAATCCCCATAACTCGATGTCTTTTTCCATTGTAAAATTTATTTCACTTTTTTATCACATCGGTGTCATTCCAGTATAGTTCGAATACACCGTTATCAGCACACGAAAGACCTCTATATCTAGTAGATGTAAGCTATATGACAAGGCAAAAGGATTTTCCTTGTCAAAAAAACAAATCTCATTAGGTTTTTTTTCAGTTGATCTGCATGATCCGATTCAACCCATTAAATAATTACATTAAAAAAAGAGTCGAAATATGTATTGATTTGTCTAAGTAATAAAAACGCGTAGCTACGTAAGACCCAGACCCCCTTCATTACCTCCACCAAAGCATCGGTTGTTAAAAGAATACACGTGGCATCTGTGTTCCTGTTTATCAGACGATAAGTGGCGACGTCACTTGGGGATTGGGAAGTCGTGGTGGTCGTGGACTGCGTCGCCGACGGCGGCTCTGGTTGCGGTTTCAATCTGGGCCTCGTGGTAGATTGACTGGCCAGACTCAGCGAGTCCACCAAGCTCGAGGCAGTAGCATCTGCAACGATCGTACTACTAACTAGCCAAAACTATTCATATGGCTTAATCTATTTATAGCAACAACCAATTTACAATTCTCGATCGCCAAACCAAGAACTGACAATCGAGAAAAAGCAATTTAACATATTAGTCCGCAGTGGCACGGTTTGACGACTCTTTGTTTCGCTAAAATCACGGTCATATGTCTCAGATCTACGTTCACCCTAAAGCAATGTCGATTAGAAAACCGACTAAACATCTGCCATTCGGCAAATCTGGAAATTACTTACAGATAATCAGCAATTTCAGGTAAATAGTGACGCCGAACGAATCCATCTTGCAGCACCCCCGTTTACAGCCACATGTACGTTTAGACTGTGTCGGAATATAGCGCAGACATGAAAGAACGGCAACTTTCTGAGTGGGCGTACGCAGAATCACCCTTTGATATCAATAAAGGGACGCATGCGGATATTCCCAGACGTGGGAGTCCATTGATGGGTTTGTATTCAGGGAAAACATGTATGGATGCCGCTGCAATGCGTCGTCAAATATTGTGATGGTCACCGCGTAGTCGCTATATAGGTATGAATAACACACCTACGCGGACCAAATGACGCGCGTACCGTTTCGGATCAAAAAGACTCCAGAAAAATGCGAAATAAACTCACGCACCTTAGTAGGTGACATTGCGTCTTTCCACAACTCACCTTCGAGCAGTTGGCCTTTCACACGTTGGCCCTTTAAATGTTACACTAAATTAAATCTAATCAGAATGTGCCAATCAAATTCGCTATTTGTTGATGCTAAAATTTCTAAAGCACAATTTATAAATTACATTGTGGCGGATGCGCAGGACGACCGAATAACTGGCAATTTTGAAGGTACACATATTTTGAAGTGAGGGCTACCGCATAAAACGAATAATATTTACATACTAAAATTTTTCATAATCAATAAAATAAAACAAATTAAAATGTTGAATAATCTAATCAAGCAATAAAAGTGTTATTTTGTGTACCTATGCAGTGCCACTTGTCATTGTTTACATGGTTTTTCGAAGAAACAATTTAAAAATCTCTACTTCAGAGACGGGATTTTTTTTTATTGAACATGTTAGTAAATACCTTAAGTCAATAAAAAATTGTTTCAATTTTGTAGACGCCTTTTTTTGAGTTTATAAATTCGTATTATGGAAATCAAGAAAACAGTGTTTCATTAAAATCATCTATGGGATCGAGCATGGCTATGTAATATAAATATCAAAACGAATAAAACTCAATTGTTCCAATTTTCGTAAAAGCCGTTATGCGCTTGCCCCCTCATCTGTTGAGAACCGCTGGTGTACGTCGGAGACCACCAAGTGGAACATACGCGCGTGCGCAACTATCTCCTTGTCAATGTCGTCATGGTGGGCACGTCAATTTACGCGACACGGCGCGCCGTCTTCGGCACTGGCTTGGTAGCGGAAATCGGGGCGACGTACGTCGGTTGTAAACCCATCGCGGTAGGTTCCGTTCGCCCAGCCATCTTGTGAAATTCCAAAAGTATGCTTATTTGAGGTGTGTGTGTCGATTTTACGAGGATTTTAAAGTGATCGAGGTGCTTTTATGGGTGAGTTTTGCTATTTCACGTGTGTAGCATTAGTTTGGTGAGCGGTTTCCGTGCGGGATCCCGTTAAATCACCGGGAATTCTGGTACAAAGTGTGCTCCCGTCACAGCTTTCACTCGAACCGTAAATATACGGCGAAACGGGCAAAATTGACCGGTTGGGTACTGGAGGAAAGCAATACCGAAAGTGTTTTGTTGCGGTTTTAGTATATTCTGCGATATTTCTTGCCGAAAGTTTAAATTTTGACAAATCAGCTCAGAGGTCAATACTGCCATCCGAGAAGTCCCCAGCCTTATACGGAGCACGGTCTGTTTACAAAAAAAAGAACGAGATTAAAAAGTTTACCTGTCCCAGACCATCTAGTTTTGTTACCGTAGGTGTTGTATGCATTTCCTGGTTTTTGTTCAGACAGGGTCTCATTTAATTTTAATGTGTAGGTACAATGCTACCTGTACCTAGCGATTTTTTTTTGCGTAGGTATCAAGGAAGTGAGTCATCTGAATCGCGGGTCATCTTCAGAGCCCCGGGCTCAATTTTCGGTTAGGCTTGTACCTGATTAATGTTATTCTATTAACGTGATTTTTATTTTGACGGTTTCTCTCGGCTTGAGATTGGTGTTTTCGCTATGCAGACACGTTCTTCTCGTAGTTCACTTTCTTTTTTTTTTTTTTTCACGTGGCCCGAAGGCAAATTATTTTAGATGCTTGTGCGCTTTTTCCCAACGCGATTTTCCTTCTAACCTCTATTTGATAGTTAATTGCATGGTAGTTCATATGTTCCATGTACTATAAAAATGTGGACGCTTGTGGTGCGGTTTTACATAGTCGGAAAAATGTAGGTCATTTAAGATACTGCCAAACTATATTACAATTATGGAAGCTTAAGGATTGCTGCGATAGTTTTTCACCTCCCCATAAAAGTACGATTTTCGGCGATTATAATGAAGTGTTTTTGTTTATATATCTTTTATGTTCTATGCAAGTATCAACGCGTCTTCCGTTAAAAATTACAAAGAGCTTACGTCGTTTTAATGCATTTTTTATTGAACTTAAATAAGTGTAGTCCTGGCGCATCCGCCGCAATTAACTGTATTGCGTGGGTCCGTGTTGTGTAATCTCGACACAGTTACGATTGGAAAGAAACTGGAGCGCTGTTTGATAACCGTTGTGTGAATTCGGCGTAACCGAGAAACCCGCTTCCTCAATTTGGTAATCAATTTCCCCTGCAGACCCAAAATGGGAACGCTATATTCAGAAAAGTCGTTTTGCAGTTTGCAACGGACCTAATGTATCTTGAGGACTATTTTTTGCTCGCATTAACCACAACGACCTAAACGGCCATTTGGAGAATGGCATTCGACTCGAAGGACCAAGAGATTTTTTTTTAAAGGTAATGTGAGCCGGACGGTGTGACGACGCTGACCAATTCCGGTTGGGTGGGGCCGACGACGACGACGCGACGTCTACCATGTCCACGGCGATGCGATCGACCCTCCAAACCGTTCCCGAGAGCCTGGAGGTGACTAAGACGACGACCGCTACGAACGATTCCTCTTCGGCTACGTCGGCCAAGACCGCGTCGAAAACCGCCGCCTCCGCCGCCACCGGCGACTCCGCCGTCAACAAGTCCAGGTCGTACAACTACCACACTCAATCGTCCACCAACAAGGTAAGGGGATCATGTAAGGGATTTTGGGCGGCCAGTAAAATCAAAATTTGAAGAAAAAAACTGGTAGAATTGTTTTAAATTCAATTTAATATCATTGTTGGGCTATTAATAACGAATTTATCGCAGCACCAAGTTATATGCACGATGTTTATAAATAAGAAATCTTTGAAAGAACATTTTTGACTGGCTGCCTATTTAGAGTCATTTTCACCGTACGTTTCTTTTGCTCTCAGCGTGGTGACGGAATAAGTTATTGTCCGGCGTCGGTTGTTTTTAAGGCTTATTGTAATGGTTTTTTCAAAAGCGGAGGGTATTCTGTGGTTTCAATATGTGGTTGGAGGGATACAAGGCTTTTACGTCTAGCGTTAGCGTTTGTGTGGTTACGTTATTGATTGTTATCCAAACGAAATAAAATTTATACCGCTTGGATATCTTCGGCGTTAGGAGCGAATGATGATAATTCGTTAAGCTCCAGGGAGACAAAGCACTTAATGGAATCTATGATGATATTTGCTCAAAAAACTCTGTTCAACTTTTTTTATAAACAGTGAACTCCGATTACAAAGTACCTTCTAGGGACCAGAAAATGAGTACTCTATAATCGGAAGTACGCTATAAATACGTACATATTTTTATTTTACATAAAAATAGAAAACTAATAAACACTAATATAGGTACTAAAAAACGAAAGAGACCAAACTACCTAAACTACATAAACTTTACAACATACAAGTAAAAATACATACTTTATTCTTTTTGAGTAAAAAAATCGTTATTTTTGTTTGCTTATTTTTTCTCATTACAAATTTCATAATATCATCAGTTTAAAAGAATTTATAATAATTTTAGCGACACAAAGCGGTTCAGAATAACTTTGTACTTCGTCCTGTTGAACATCATCGTCGCTTTCGTTACCAGAGCTTTGAGGATCATTTGGCTGTAAAACTTCAGTAATAATATTATTATCCGTTAATAATTCAACAACAGTTGCGAAGCTATCCGGCTCAGGAAGATACATTTCAATATTGCTTAGATCTTGGCCGCTATTGCGCAACCAATTACTTAGGGGAGCCTCCCAGTTATCGCCGTCATTATTTTTGTACTTCTCGAACCACGGAACCAGAGTTAAGTCATCGTCTGAATCAAACTCATCTTCCGATTTTATCAGACCTACATGTCGAAATCAGTTTGAAATAGTGGTAGTTCCAACATTGTACAATTTTATGGAGTCTAGGATAGTGATGTTTCAAATGACTGGATTACACGATACAAAAAATATCTGCGGTAATATGTCTGGAGGCATTTTATTATGCCCTGACCCATTGGTTGGACGACTGAGGTCTAATTTGATTTTGATTTGACTTATAAATGACAGGTAGATTGTTCACATTTTTCATGCGTCTCGGTTGTTCATATTTACCAATAACAAGAAGTTTGCATTTTTCGTTTCCTGTTATATTTGCACAAACCCAAACGATGTATCTCAACTTCGACTGCTTCCCACCCAAACAATTAAATTAAAGGGTACCATCTGGAGTCATCTTGTAAACACTGTAAGCCCAGTCTCGTCACTATTGAAAATATCCTCAGAGCTGTAATTTTGCGCAATACTGGGCTACTTATCCTCTAACCAGTTCGGCACAGTTTGTTTGTTAGCATCTCCTGCTTCACAAGAATTTTTTCCGATGTTTATGTTGTGGCGAACTGGCTAATTCTTCGGCTTTCGATTTTAGAACTGGACCACTTATTGCAATAGTTTCGTATCATCGAACTTGAAGCACGTAAAAGAGCTTTATCTACATCTGAATGTACAAGATTTCAAATTTTTTCGCGATTACTCCAAATTGTAGATATTGTTGTTTTTGCCAATTTCTTTTATCTAGCAATTTCCGCCTTACCGATACCACTCTCAATACTTCTGATAATTTCAATCTTTTCTTATAGGCTTGCGCCGAACAGCTTTTTTAACCATAAATTCAAAAAATCGTGCTAGCGGACGTTTCCATAAAACAATATTGTGGAAACTGTCGCCCTGACACGCACCACATTTCAGATAAAACCTCGCAAATGGCTACTGAAAAATCCCCGATATTTTCGGAGAACCACCGCTGGATAATCCGGTTTTAGCGTACACTCGTACTTTATAACCAGAACGATAACGAAAATATTGTACCGTAGTAGAAGCTATATATGGTACGTAATATCGGATGAAAATCAAGAGTATTTTGGCCGGACCAGAAAAATATGTGCGTAATACCCGGAAGTACCATATCCCATGTACGTTATAAACGGAGTTTACTCTACGTGGCCTCAAATTACCAATCCAACTTTAATTTTCTTATTAATTTTTAGTGCGAAAACTATTAAATCAATCAAATTTATTACATGGAAAGTCCAAGTTGCGAAAAATAACACTTGCTTGTCAACGTAATACTTGTGTGAGGCGCAAAATATATTCGCTAACATCCTAACTTAAATAATTAAGTGATAGACCAACAATCGATCAATGGGATAGGTGCTGCTCATTTATAACTGTGGTAAGAGTACCTAATGACTTAAAAAAAAGTAAACTGAAGAAACCAAAACTAACCTTCAGCTTCAAAGTGACGTAGCTAAACGATTTGAAAAACGTATAAAACGTTGAAAAATAAGAAATCTTAAAAAAAATTATATTCTTTGGATTCTCTTTCCTAGAATATCATTGCAATTTTCCAGAAAATTAAATAAACTAACTACTGCTGACGTTTGTACAATGTTACCCCAAATAATTCGACCCAACGATCCTAGCAGTCTTGTCCTATAGGAGTACAGAAGAAGGGGAACGCCAAATAATAGTAGCTTCAATAATTAGAATGAAAATAGGACAAAATAAAGCAATTGAGTTGGGTTGGTTTTTAGACTCCTAATAAAACAAAACAAAATAGTATAAAAATCGATGTCCATTCAATGTTTTGCCTCCCCTACGTTCTGACAAAGTTCTAATGAGACTCCGTAGGAAGTTTTGTGATTTGTAATCCCGGCCCAAGATATTAGGCGAGGTAAAGAAAACAGAATCTTAAATAAAAGGTGTTAAAGTACGCTTCGGTGTTTTCTAAACTTTGTAGCTTATTTTCGTTCGCGTTATCTGCTAAGTCTTCGGGTATTAATTCGTCAGTCACCGTGCCCGAGATAAAATTTATTTTTAAAACGGGCGAAAATAACGAAGCGGTTGCATAAATCGAAAACCAATTTTTCTCCTGACCCGGTAATAATTGTTTGTCGTAATCGCAGTCGAGGCCGCTCGAATCGCCTTGACAACCCCCATCGAAGGAGAAAAAATTCGTAAAATAATCAGCCGCGCGCCGTGTCTCGAAGTATTTAAGCTGTCGCGTTAGTCACCGCGTTGATTAAAAATTTGTTTTTGTTTCACCTCTTTGGAGAAGTGGACTATAACGGCCCTCGAAGTCTTGGATTTAGGTTAATAGCTACGAGATGGTTACAGAGAAATAATACTGGAAAAGTGACCCAGCGCGAAAGAATTATTTTTATTAGTGCAATTTGAAGTAGTTGCTAAAAGCGAGCCGATTCGTTGAATTGCCCGGGTAGCGTCATTTCCGTAGAACTCGACGATATGATATGGATGACGAACCAAAGGTTAACGTAGGTTGTTGCATCGGCAGTCGAGAGCCATCGCTCTAATCCGATAATCGGGTCATCGTGCTAACATATATATGATAATTACTGGTCCAACAATCATTATTGTACCAAACTGCAAGTCTTGAATAGAATATTCAGATCAATGCCGCGTTCTTTCGAGTCGGTTCGTCCGATCACAACTCGTAGGTTCGTTCCAACCCCAAATCACACCTTCAGTGCTTAGCTCTATCAGATAGTTTGTTGGTAATCGATCTACGGAAATTGGCATATTGGGAGATGATACTGTATGGTGAATGGTGAATGGTTTTCACAGTGTCCTATATTAGATTTGGTTATCAATCATCTATTATCTGTGAAATTTCTTCCTGGCGTTGTTTGTGTTTTTATCCTTTTTTTTATGTTCGAAGAGAGGGATATTGCATAGGGATATAGGGTACTTGCATTATTTATTTTCACGACATTTTAACTGGTCCGGTATCTCCAGCCGTTTTCGGGTAAAACATTTATCATTGTCTATGACCTTCAAGCAAACACTGTGCTGTTTAAATCTCGGATCATCATAATAATTCTAAGTCATCCTCATCAGAATACTGACGTGCGGCGTCCAAGTCGATTCAGATTTTTAATCCTGGACACATAAGACCGTTTTCGAGAATGTCAATGTCTGGAAATTTGATGTGACAGCTCTGCAAATTTAAAATTATCAACAGCAGATTTTTCTTCAATTAAAAAAAAAACGATGAAATTTCCTGTTAAGTAAAATAAGATATTTCCACGTATGTATGTAAAGAGTAAAAAAGAATTCATTTATAGAGCACATGCGTCAAACTATCGGAAACCATTAAACAAAAAACAGTTCTGACCATTCACAAACAAGTTTCGAATTGGTATGAAACAGAAAGCATATTATTTAATAGTATATTTGTTTCTTTATCGGTTTTTGGGAAATTTTCTTAAGAACCAAGTTTTATTTTTTTTATATGCATATTTATTTATATATACTCCTTTTTTTTCAGTAGGTGTTTCTTTCGGGATTGACAGTAGCAATTCTGTTATAGGTATTAAATTCCCTTATAAAAATAAACTATAGTATCGTAGAGTCGTATCCTGATTCTAAGGAACTGTTTCATTTGTCAGTAAGGGAATCGTGAGTCCATCAAAATGAAAGTCTAGTTACGATCCTTTAATGTCAGTTGTGACCACGCAGAGCGAAATCGACTAAGATCAGGAGTTGGTTAAGTTATGGCCGCTCGGCGCTCGTTTGTTTTTGTTTTGGTAACGCGAGATGGAGGCGTGTGTCCTGCGGGACTCTAGACCCGTGCAAATGACGTTAGCCGGATCGTTATCGGTTTGTTTGTTTGGAAATTTGTTCGGAATAAACTGGACGATTTTGTTCTGCGAGTTGCGGTTATAGAACCGTTGCCCAACCTAAACAACGATTAGTTTCATTCAGTTGTAAATTTGGCAATTCGGGCTGACGCAAATCTTATTAAAATTTCGCAGCAGATATACATACAACGTACGCACGCAGATAATTTAAAAAGCGATTTGATTTCTGCGAATTTTGCGTCTAACGTTAAACGGCAATCAATACCCCAAAAACGGAAATGATAATGGTACGTAGAATAGAAACTTACGAAGAGAATCATCAAACTTACGGCTAGCCAGGCAGCATCGAAAGCGTTGAAATCGCCTTGGTACTCCTCTAAAATCGTAAGAAGCTGCCAAGGGAATCTATCCATGTTAGTGGGTCAAAATGGGACATGAATCTTTGGATACTCCTGGAGGGAGCTCCTCGCTCTCCTCCAAGCCTGGGAGCCAATTCCTGAAATCAGGGAACGACGTTGTCTAGGATTGATGTTTTGTCTTTGTCACTCTTACTTATTTTCTCATTAAAGTGACAAGGACAGAACATTCGTTCCTGTAACGTGTTTTTCAAGTTCCAAGAATTGGCGCCCTGGAGAGTAGAGGAAGCTCGCGTGCAGTGGGTCCGGGACTACATTCTACATTCAAAGACTTTAATAGAATGGTCCACGAAGAAACGCGCAGTCGACACCCGGTTGGGCTTGAGTAGAGCAAACGCTGATCTGGATGTATTGCGGACCCTGCAAACTTAAATACCACATGCACAAAATCAACTTTTAGGACGAAGATGGGACTGGACGCGCATGGAGAATGAGAAAACGGTGGAGCATATATTGTGTCGTTGACCAGGCGAGCGAAGCCTCAGATACTCAAAACTAAAAAATTATATCCTAGAGTTTGCAGGCCAATGCGGCGGCTAACGTAACCTCCTAATATTTGGCGTTCGAGGGTGGCTTCAATAGTCCAAAATGTGGGAATTTAAGTGATTTTTCCTTTAAATTGAGAAAGAAGTAGAATTTATTGTTTACTCTAAATTGAATGGAAATTTACAAAAAATATATATGTAGCAATATTAGACTTTAACACCCTGTATATCAGAATCGAAGCAGTTTAGTTTTGGACTTTATTTTACGAAAAAATGATATTCTGTAACGGCTAAATAAACATGTACGCACAATAAAAGCAGTACCCTATCTAGCAGAAGAATATATTTTATCTTAATAAGATGTGGATCTGGATGTAGTCATGTAGTACCAAAAATGTGGCAACATAAAAATATTACTAGTGCTCGTGGCGGTTATTCTCTTATTTAAATGAAAATCCTGGCAGAATAACGCTTGTAGGTGCGTATTAAAATATGACCGGTCACCCTGTAGATACATATATGTATTTATAATTTTTATTATCCACAAATATTATATTTCATTTGTTAAAATAAAATTTCGGTTAATTTCATTTTACATTCCAACATGTCTAATATTTATCACCATTGTTTTTGAACAGGTAGAATCTTTAGTTACTACGTTATGAGGTTAATGATATAAAATAATAAAAAAGAGAGTGCAAATAATTTCTGAGATGTGATAACGCGAGACAGTGTTGCAAATTTAGTTTTAGATGAACCCGAAATACAGGTTAGAGATAGTTTCAAAAAGTTTACCAGAATGAGCAATACTACGGTTGAAGAGCTTTTGAAATTCGGTCAGATAATCTTATGGTAAACAGGCTAGTAAAATGTAAAATTTAAGGGTGTGAAGATGCAAAAGATACATTGTAAACACACTTTTTTGTACAAACAATTAGAATTAAATGGGAACAAATTTTAAAAAAATCACAGATAGCCATCGATGTTTTATCCAAGTATATACGCGACATTTCTCAAATATTTGGACACGGTACGCTATGGATGGCATTAATTATTCAATTATTTTAAATATAATGTCAAAGCAAGTGAAAATTTGAAAAATGCACAAGAACAAATGCATTTTCGTGTTCTTAAAGTAAAATAAATTGTCTCAACCTATTTATTTAATAGAAATATCAATTTAAAGTGAACAAATTTAAATAAGTCTGATATTTAAAATTGTTACTCTCTTCAAATTCATTCTTCAATATATTCGATACTTCGATGCTCAAAACCTATTAATGTGGGTTGCATCTCTGCACAATCTGTTTCCGACGTTGGAATGAACCTATAATAAGGATGTGTGTGATAGTTTCCTTTGGTTTCCGCCGACTCTGTGAGCGAACACGTTCTCGATCGCCCGGTATGACGACGACGAGCCGCTCGACCTTGACGTTCGTCCAATCTCGACGTTAAACAACTACCGCATTCTCCCTCCCCTTCCCATTCTAATTAGCAAAACACAATTATTACAATAACGCCATAAAATACGACACTCGACTTAAGTGTATGTACACACTGGCACGGCAAATACGGAGGGATTAACGCGCGCGACAAGAGGCGAACAATCGAAAAATAAGGGACGCTGATTTCTCGATTCAGCAGTATTAGTCCGGTCAAAATAGACATTTTAAATAACAAAAATTGCCACAGAGCTGGATGGCGCGGATACTTTGGGTACACCAGTAGAAAAACTAGTGGCAGACTCTCATATGTATAACTATGTAATTCTG